GCAACACGCGCGGAGCAGGTGCCGAAACATTGCGAGTAGCGGAGGGCGGCGGAGCGACGATGACTAATTTAAGAGTCGCGATGCACGCATTATTTTAATGCACCCGATCGAATGCGCTGTACGTGCGTTCGTCGCTCTCGCACGAGGGTCGTTTCGATCGTATTTACGCAGGATACCCATGAATCTGTTTCCACGTTACGCGCGCGGTGAGAATCCACGTTGCCCGACGATGAATTTGGAAAAGCTGTGTCCTAAAACGCGAACAAACGAATTGGTAAATCGATGATTTTTAAGTTGCATGCGACTAGAAATAGAAAGCTGCTTGCGAAATTGACGGTACAGAGTGGCGAAAAGTAATGAATGTTCCATGAGTGTAATACCGAGATTTTCTATAATTTTATTCAAATCCATCACGGGTTTGCAATCTCGTTTCAGGCGCTTGCTCTCGCGTTCCCTTCCCTTCTCTTGTCATTCTTATAGAAAATCAAAGGCTGAAATAAGTTTAAGATGCACTTGATATAATCGTTGCTTCAGAAATCGAAGATTATAATGATCTTGCGGGTCTGTGATTCGTTCTTTGCAGGGAAAGGGAATATAATATCAATTGGTAACATTGGCCAATTTCTCGTAAGGAAAAAATGGTGACTCGTGTTTTCTATGCATTTTACAGTGCACTGAAATAACCGTTTTTTAAAAAGACAATCGCTTCCGACATAACCAGATAGAGTTGAATATGTTCGAAGAAGTCGTCGCGAAATCTGCACGGAGAAAAATAATTTTGCTCTTTTAGCAAAATCGTCATTGCTACTGCATATTCGTAGTGACATTAAAAAAATTTAGTTGACGTAACTAATTTTACAAATTATTCGTTATCAGAGCAGAAGTAGTTTTGTTGCCAGGATAGAAAACATTTGTTGAGTGTATTTGTCCTAAAATCACGTTAATTTGCTATTGATGCAAAATAATGTATCCTTAGCAAATTTATTTGCTATCGAAGCAAAACTGCAACTGCTTATATAAATCCATCATGGTTCTTATAGCAAAGTAATTTTCAGCAAATTATATCCAAATAGTGATTAGTACTCTTAACAAATCTTTTTGCTGTCCATATAATAATGAAAAGATTTTGCTAGACTAGCAGAAAATTTGCTGGGTCAGCAAATTATTTTCCTCCGTGTGCCTGAAAATTTTTACAGACTCTGGCACGAGATTCTTGTACTTTTGTGTGAGTTGAAAATCTTCGATAAGCCCTGCGTCACATGACGTTAACCCGAACATTTTACATTGTAATTTTCTTACGTCGTACGTTACGACAAGCGTCGCGTTAGATCTACGTAGGCGCGTCCGGAGTACGTCAGAAAAACCGGATTATCGAGCGTGCCCTCCCCGGTGAGACGGAATAGAATTCAGTGACGTCATCGTGTCGGCGTACGGGCATTTTCTCCGCGCGGCTAGACCGTAACGACGCGCAACACCTGGTCGATCGAGTGAAATAGGGCTTCGTGGCGTCACACGACCCTCGGTGAGATCACTTGATCGCAAATGATGTCATCGTGGGCTCTCGCCGTCGCACGTCGGCCCGGTTGACGAAGCGTCATTCACCGCGAACGTCCGCTTTAAGCACCGAGGAAGATGAAGCCGATCGAGCAGACGCCTCTCGTCGATAATTCCGGGATAATTTTTTCCGCTAAACGGGAATTTATTTTTGAAAACGGGTAAAATCGCTTCTCACGCTTCGTTGGAACATATCCTACAGTCTTTACACCTCTCTTTGTTTTTGCATTATTTCTGGCTAGCCGCGGACTCGCGAGTGAACACACCGGGATTTAAAAATATTCAATTATCTTCGCCTTCGCGAAATGAAAGTAACTGGATAGTTGATATCTGGATTGACATGAATCATTTAGCTCGCACGATTGAAGAGATTGAAACGGAGAATTATGCTATTATAAAAGTAAGGCAAGTATTTTGAGAATTGTCGAGAATACTGTTCTGAGAAAAAAATGTCTGCTATTTGTAATTATGGAGAGATATTTCTCAATTTTTTTCTGTATATAAGGTAAACGTCCTAGTGATTGAACGTGTACCGATAATTGAATTACTAATAATATACTTGTGTTTGTTAAGATGCTTATCAATAAATGGGACAAAATTACAAAGTAACTAAATATTTCTTTTCATTTATTATATTGTTTTATATATTGGAAAGCATTTCAACAAAAAAAAAAAAAATACAAAACCAATATGTCAATCATTGGGACATATATGTTCGACCACTGGGACGTTTACCTTATTTTTTTTGTATATATATTGTATATATTTCTTTTTGTATATATTTTTTTATTAAGTTTTACTATAATGTTACTGATAATAATTTTATATGATTGTTATTACTATTATTTTACTATAAAAAAATGCTTGAGACCAAAAGTTAACTATAATTAGTTTTATTGTACAGTTATTATTATATAATTTTATTAACTACAGTTAACTATAATTAAATTTAACTATGGTTAGTTATACTATAACTATAGTTGATCTAACTGTAGGTAATTTTTTTCTTCGTGCGTTTTCTTCGCGTATTCTACGAGGTATCGTATATTTCGAGATTTCTCATTGCGTAAACGTGCCATTTCGTAGTAACGATTGTATTGTTTAGCAAACTCATAGTTCAACGGCGCGGTGTTAATTTTAGATTAATACTTTTGGAAGTCGTGACGCGCATCGACTATTGGATAAAATACGTTGGTCAATTTTCAATAAATATATGTTGCTTAGGTGGAGTAGGGGAGCCGCGAGGTGAATTTCACTCTCATCTTTTAAAATAATATTTACATACGCGGAACCGCCAACACCAATCGGTCTCGATCAACGTGATTCTACGATCTCGAGATCTTACGAGATCGCCTTTTCTCGCCGTTACTCCAATCGTGCGGAGAGCTTGAGAGAGAGAAAGAAAAAGAGAGAGAGATAGATCTTGTTATTACCGTTATACGTTACACGTATATCCGGCGTTCTTCTAAGGATAGCTATTATTTGGCAGGACAATTAATAAGCTTCAGTTTCGTATCGCATTACCATCGAAATTTCATATACAATTGCAGTCGAATGGCGCGATAAAGTTCCAGATATAATTCGATGCTAATATTGGATTTTATCATGGTACGCGTAAATAGATCCATCAGAACGGTTTATCGGCAGCCTCGGATATTCGAGCACACACTGAAATCACGTCGGTTACAGCTGGATTAAATCGAACCCGAGACCTCTAATAATCGCGCATCCCCAAATTGATACGCATACAATAATTATAGATTAACTATGTATTAACTATATTATTCAGAGCGCAATTATCGCATTGATAGTACGATAATACGATGTAGTTCGTGGATTCGCGTATGCATTCATGTACAATCGGAGACAGAAAGTTGTCCACCTTTTTTGCGAGTTTAGAAACGTATCCTGCTTTGTCCCTAATTGAGAAAATTCTTCTATTGGGAAACATATTCTTTAATTGGACAAGACAGAATACGTTTCCGATTGAAGTGCATTTCAGTGAGGAATACACTTGATTGTACTTTAGAGGGTTTCTAGATTCACAAAACAAGGCGGACAATATTTCTGCTCGCCGATTATGCGTTTTATTGCCAGCGGGCCAAATATTTCCCAAAGTCGAACAGGTGGAGTACGCTTTCCCGAGATGTGTTAACAACGTCCAAGAATTTCAACGTCGCGATTTCTGTCTGAAAAGCCGAGGTCTTCCATATCGTTGGTATTGCGCCTCGGCTTATTTTCGCTCGCGCGGAAATATCGAGATGCAGCGGATCGATCAATTTTACAAATGGCTGCGGCGAGAACGCACAGCAAACGATCGCGCGCGCTCTTGACTGCGTGACAACTGGCGATCGCGAACGTTTAATCGATGACCGCGAGCGAAACCAGTTCTCAGGTTTTACAAGGAGCTCGTGGACACGTCATCGCGGATGTAGACGGAAGTTGAGAGATTAATTTGTTTAAAATTATATGTACGTAAGGTATCCTTCGGGACGCTGACGAGTGGAAAAACCCGTAAGACACGCGACCGCGGAAGATGCAATGATCTACGCGTCGGCGTGTACATATCAGTAGAATTATCGTTGAATAACATACGGCCGGGAAATGTCGACATTTCTTTACAATTATCTCTCTGTCGTCGGTCGAAAGTTAATACAGAAGAAGATCTCGCTGTCGCAGCTAATCATGATTTGCTGAAAATGTATTTGCTGCTGTGTTGCTATCACGTCGGTTTTATACACTGAGAAAGAAATATTTACAAACTAACAAATATTTATTAGGTGAATACTATTAACATATTTACAAAGTTCTCTTCATTTAGACTGAGTATCGTTTACCTAAACCGAGTAAATAATAGAGTATTATTTAGGTAAACGATACTCGGTCTAAATAAAGAGAACTTTGATTTAAATAAATATGTTAATGGTATTTACCTAATAAGTATTTGTTAATTTGTAAATATTACAAATACAACCGTGTAAATAATATTCGGTTTAAATGAAAAGAATTTTTATTTAACTAAATATGTTGATAATAAATATTTGTTAATTTTTAGATATTTTTCTCAGTGTAACTAAATATATGTTTGCTGATAAGTATATTTTTAGGTGCACTGAGAAAAAAATGTTTGAAAATTCATTGGGGAGAGATGCAGAGTTTATTTCACAAAATATAACACGCAGGAATAAACTTTCCCACGAATACATTTTAAAATATTTCCTTTCAGTTTATCCACATGTTACGAGATTTTAGCCACCGCATACAGATTTCTACTACCGCGGCTAATTTCTTTTTTTGTCATCCGTGTCGCCACATTGCCAAAAAGGTTTCCGATGGCTACGCCATTGCGGATGTGAACGGTGGTTGACTGTTGAGAGTGATAACTTCATTCAAAAGAAAAAAAATAAATTCCGAAAGATCTCGCCGCGGGCGGTCGCGATCGTTTGGCTCGCCAAAATAAAACGTCGATTCACCGGCGTGCGGTAAGACCGGTGTGTCGGCACGCATATATACGCGTATACCTATATAAAAGTGTCATCGTGCCATTCCCGAGGATAGTTGGTCGCTGCGCATCGAGCGAACATGATCGAGGTAAGAGGGAGAGAGAATCGAAGGATCCGCGTCGTGAGCGTGCCTGCTTTTCGCAAAACGAAGTGTCGATTTCGCGGTCGCGGTTCTGGTTTCAATCACGTGATGTTCCCACCGACGCAGTCTGTGAAAAACGAGCGTTTTCCCGCGAATTCACGGAAACTCGCGTAATCAGATAATCTCTTCGCGGAACCAGAAAAACGTAGTAGTTGGTTAGAAGAAAGTTCTCCTTTTTTTTTCTATTATAAGAAGTGAAGAACAAGGGAAGAGAGCCTCGTTAATGTGATAACCTTAGAGAGTTGACGTTTATCGCTAATATGACGTTGCTACTTTGATGTCATTTGAGTCGACGTTTATCACTAGCGTGACAAGCCGACATTAGCCTCCTCGGGATGGTGTTTGACTATTTAAAACGCGTACGGCTTACTGCGCTATATTTTGTAACAATTAATCCGTGATATTCTCGCGCGGAAAATTAATATCCTCTTTACTGTGCTCGACTGTCCGTCTTCTTCCTAAAATATCGTAACGAATGAAACAGCCTTCGCGAGATAAATGAAGCCCCACCGGCCCTTCGCTAATTTCGCCTCGCCTTTAGGTAGCAGGACTTATAATTAAATTTCGTGGCTAAAATTACACGAATGGTTAGCGCGCCTGTGTGCGCGGGGTGTGGCGGGGGAGAGGGTGCTCCCGCCGCGTACGTATAATTTTAGCAGGAAAATCTAATTATACATCTGTCGTTGAAGGCGGGACGCGGCTTGCACTCGCAAAGTGGTTGACGGCGCTCGGATAGATCATCAGCAATTAATATCGCCGGAATATCCGCGCGGGAAGGATCGCGTCGCGATCCGCGATAAAAGCGATTAGTCAATTGAGAAATGATCCCGGGGAGTTGATACCGAGCGGAGAGCTGCGCCGCGATTCGAATGTCTCGCTCTATTTCGGGCTGTTGCTCAGTTCTGCGAGCAGATAACTGAGGCTTAGTTAATTGAAGATCAGTTCGACAGCTCGTGGAAGCATCCAGTGTCGCACTACCTCTCCATCTACCTCACGGCATCGCTACTCGGTGAAAGCGTCTCGCGACGAAATTAACGACCCATTCTTTCTTTCTTTTTTTTTCTAGGACGGCCACCTTATTTCGACAAGCGTATCTCGCGACCGATCTCGGGGCGCGACGGGAAAAATCATTTTTACCCGTGGGCAAAAATAACTTTGTCCCGTTCGACGAATCTCTAGTCAATCGCGAGAAAGTGGGTTATCTTTTAACCTGGTCGCGATTTGGGTCAAGTGAAGTGGAGGCCGTGAGCGTGTCTATATGAAATAGTGGGGGTGTGGTGGATCGCTCGCGCGCACCTCTACCCATTTACTCGTTTATATACCCATTTACCTACGCGGGTGTCGCGTCGACGCGAGCCCATGTGAGATTTCAGAGATTCCTCGATGAGCGCTTAGATCCTCTCCGGCCCGATTTTCAGGGGATCACCGGAATCGCGCGCGATTTCGTGTCGTTTCAGCGGAAACGCACAATATGATAGAAAAAAGACGTCTCCCGGGTTGCGTTCGTAAATTTGCAGTCATAATTCATTCGGTGCGGCAGCGCCGAATTAATTTCGCGCAAATCCCGCGTAATGCACGTCACGTTTCGGAAATAAATCTCGCGCGCGTGATTCTCTCCTCTGCGACGGAGTAGCCTTTTTTCCTAGCGTGTGCCAACCGAGCACGACGACGAACGTAATAATTTTCCGATTCGGCCGTTGTTTTCACTGTTGCGAATTGAGATATTGAAGCGAAGAGATATTTTCAGGAGATATTTTCACTTTTGACTGTTCGATATCTATTTGTAGTTATTATGGTAATTAAACATCTCGAACATTCCTTGACAATGTCGAGTCCATTTGAGCATATGCAAATGCGCTGCATTCTTTTTACACAGTTTCTAGTACTTTTTCTTGGCGTTTACGGGACACTGGCGGCTCCACACACGTCCCACCAGAATCACGATGTCTACCATCGCTTGGACAATCATGCGGAGATAATCGGTCACCAGTTACCCGGCACGGAGAATCTCAACGAGAAGGCGCTGCCGATATCACAATTGTTCGCTGTGGAAACGTATAACCGCCCGGCGAATAATAATTTGGCGGAGAGGTCTCAAGTATCGCAACGGCTGCCCGGGACGGCAAATCTGGCGGAGAAACGAATCCCTGAAGCTATCCTGAAGAGGTTGCAACTTTCCGTGATGTGAGGGAATCTCGAAATTTCGGCAGCTTGTTCGATAACATTAACATTGAAGGTTATCTTTATAAGAAACACTATGAAGAAATTGTATTCAGCTGATTGGCTGACAGGCTCTGATATACATTCCCCATCTACCTCGGTTTAAACATGTAACAGCTCGCATATGATACCAAGACAATTTATTTATTTAAGCTACGTCATTACGTTTCTTTGTCAAATGAGACTAAAGATTGAGGATGTTTGAACATCGTTTTATCGCAAAAGATTGCAAGGATTTGTTTAACATCATGTCTTTTCGCGGAAGAAGACGTTCTCGTTGTAATCATCAATAAATTATTACTGTTTCTGCGTTTCCCAGGACGAAGTAGATAATTTTAACTTGTTATTTGGTAATAACGTAATTCCGAGCGTAATGGAACCGCGAGAGCGCAATGGGGAGCGGATGAATTCGCGAAAGAAAATGTGCAATCTGCGCTTTCTTTTGCTCTTGCCGTCGGCTCTCGCGACCGTTATTACCCCGTGAGATTGCTGTTATTATGTTTATCACAACTGCAATTGTATAGTTAATGCTATAAAAATTAGCGCTATTGTTTATCATACGCTAAGTTTTCAAAGGAATATCCAAAAGTAAAGAAATATGAATTCTACCGAGAATAAAATTGCACAATCTGTTGTTTTACTTTCCACTACGTGAGCTCATAGAAATACTACTAGTTGTGTCTCTCGTAAAGTAAAATTTATAAATATAAATATCTGTAATTATAAATTATATTATAAATATATTATAATTATAAATATTTCGTTGCATTATCACATGTGTTTTGAAGAAAATATATTACAACTGGATAAGAAGCAAGAGTAATGTTAAATTTGAATTATCGCGCTGACAGTAAACCGATCACTTTTTGCTGCGTAATATCTCAAAGATATTACGATGTCGCGTGTGTAACGTTCATCAGTAAAGACGAAAATGCGTTATTACAAAGATACCATTAGTTAACAACAGTATCATATCAGTGATCAATAAGTTATCACGCGTTCTGTTCGTTTTCATGTGTTGGAAAGGTAGAAAACCCGGGTTTCTAGTAGCGCTTGTCTGAGTTCCCACTAGTCTTGTCCAAAGATAGCGTTACCAGCAAGATTCAGCCAGATGAATTACATACATTTAACACAAACCAAGAGGAATAGAGAGTCATGAATTAAAAAGAAAATATTGATTTTTACTTGCGCTAAATTACCGAGTGAGATTTTACGCTTGAAAAATCAAGAGAAACTAAATTGCACAAATATTCTCACACAAGTTGTATGTGTAACAAAGTAAAATAAATATTAAAAATATTATAACACAATAGATTGTTTTTTATGGCGCTTGAAATATCTTTTTTAATGTCGGATTATTTCTGTCGGTTATTTTTATTTTACTTTCCTCGTTCTTTCTCTCTTCCACTCTTTCGCACTCGCTCTTTTTTTGCATAAGAAAAGCGACGGTACTCCGTTATATATACAACTCAATACTGTGCCTTCGCGAGATTGACGTGCCACCCTTCAGCCGTTTCGTACTCGCTGGACATTATTCCGCCGGCGAATTGCACCAAGTCATGGCAGTCCTCCGTACGTGTTGGAACTTTAATCCGGTCGGCGTTTGGATTTAATACACGCAACCGATTAACAGCGAGATTACACAGGGCTCTACGTGCAGTCGTCGAGCTTATGGTAGCTTTAAACTAAAATTAGCTGAACTTTACGTATCTTCGGTGCCGCGCGCGCCTTATTCCGAGCAGCGTGTTGATCGTCGAGTGCAGGGATAACAGGGCTTCCACTTCACCCCCGAAAAACTTGACTTAATCGCGTCAATCTAGAATGTGCGCGATCTATCGATATAAATGCATATTTCCGAATTCACCTTCGACATGAAAATAGCTGGCGGGGACTATAAAGGGAGACTTGAAATTTGAATTGACGTCGACAAAAGCGATCCAATTAGGTCCCCTTTGCGCGAGACATGTCCTCAAACTGAGTTGAATCATACCTTAATTTATCGTGCATACGTAACGGACGGATTATCTTGAAAGCTGTTTCTCAACTTCTCGTTACATAAAATCCCCATGATTGCAAATCTCGCGTTATCTGTGCAGACGTGTGTGACCTGGTCGAGCAGCTGGTCGCGAGTAAAATTGGCCACCGGCGAGGCTTATCTTCCCTTCGTGCACGCGCTATTACGTGCCATTAGCGCAGTGACATCTTCGCGAAGTGTGAAATCTAATATTCACGCCAAGTTGTTGCTCCGAGCTCGTATCATTCTCTCTCTCTCTCTCTCTCTCTCTTTCTCTCTTTCTACCTTCCTTCTTCACTCTTCGCGCTCGCTCGCGCGTTGTATGCCGACACGTGTCGTTCTGGTCGGAGCACACGCGACCCGACCCGACGCGACGCGCGAACAAACGAGCGAACGAGAGGGTGCAAGAGAGCAAGAGAAACAGAGAGAGAGAGAGAGAGAGAGAGAGAGAGAGAGAGAGAGAGAGAGAGAGAGAGAGAGAAAGGACGCTAATCCTACAGCCGCTAATCTTAAGGGGATGGTGTTTGCACGGGGGTAAGTTGGGGATTGCGCCGGCGGGTTACGGTTTCGGGGCCGAGTCAAAGACACCGACCGCCGCGCCGGTGTAACGGCAATGCCCCCCGGTCAGGCGGGTTAACCGGCTTCTAACTTTGAGCGATGCCAACCGACTCTACCTGCGCTCGAAATCGGTCGATTAAAGCCGCCCACGCACACACACACATACACACACACACACATATATACATACACCTGTCCGCGAGCGCGCCCGAGCACGTTCGCAAACTCGGCACAGTACATTGTGCGTTCAAACACGATGACTGCACCATTCGGTGGATGCCGGCGATGGAGCGACTCAAAGACTGCCGATTCGCGTTTTGTGTATGATGTACGTGAGAAATCAAACAATTCTAGTGTCAATAATTATGATCGATGCTTTGGAGATGCGATGTATCGGGACGTGGAGTTACTCCGCGAACGAAGGCTTTAGCTTTCCTTCCACTTCGACTAATTTTGCACAGAAAAAAAGGCAGTATTCACTTAAAACTGATATACTAAAATTGACAATCATCGTTTCGCATATAAGCAACGATATATAATTTCGCTAAAAGAATTTCCAAGCCTTTTTAACAAAATTTTAACAATTCTATATTTATTTGAACATTATAACAGTCTCATCGATGATAATAATACCTTTTCCAACATTTAAAATCATATTCCTAATCTAATATTTTGCGTTTTTCATTCATGAAAGTTATTTTTATTTATTTATTTGCGAATAACGTTCCTTTTATAGGAAGAAAATACAATAGCACAGAATCAAACATTTTTGAATAACCAGATTATATTTTGTTGAATCATGTGTAAAATGTAGCGATGCAAGTAACTTATTTTTGTTTAATATGCTATGTGAAAAAATTCATATTTTTAGATTTATATATAAAAAATAAAAATATTTGCAAAACAAGAATGTTCTTTCTTTCTGTGCAGTAATTAACGTTCGAAAAGTGTCGTGGGTTTTCTCGCTTTAGAACATGGAGACGACTGCGATTGGAATTGGATCTTTTTAAATCGGAATTTCCCACGATTTAACTGAGGGCTTCGATGAGCTCATATTATCAGGCGTTATCTTACGGGGGCATTAATTGGTTGAATAAAACGTTCGGGGCGATGGCGGATTAAACGAGCATTTCGACGCGACTTTCAAAGTGTCGCGAATTATGCGCTTAGCCCATTGTTGCGCGGAGCGTTTCCAATAACAAATATATCTCTCTCTCCCGTGAGAAAGCTAACGACACGTCCATCCATTGGAGAAAGCATGGCAGCGAAAGGGCACACTGCGCACTACTACGGCTACTCGCTTTTACAGTATCGGATTGCGATGCGGTAGAGGTATCTGGCGCTACGGTTTCGATGGACGAATGTAGCTATCGCTGACATCGTTGCGTCGAAGCGAAACTAACTGTTCCCACGTTCCCGAACAACACAATACAAAGCGCGTTATATTATTCGATATATCAACCTTTCATTATGATATGCCTGTTAGCGTCAGACTTTTCCTCCATTCCTTACGACATGCTCTCTCTCCTTCTTTATCTCCGTGACGCGAGATTACGTCAAAGAAAATCTCCATATATTGAATCACTTATTTGCTCGAGGCTACACGCAGGCGTAAACACACACACGTAAAAAAATCTCAGTTGGTGCAAGCGAACTGAAAATTAAGTGATCAGAAGCGATATCTCTGTTTTAAAAACTAATATTTCTGTTGTCGCAACCGAAAATATTCGTTTGAACACTCAGCGATATTAGAACTCGGTTGAAGCAACTGAGAACAATTGACTATACAAAAGCCTCATAAAGAAATTTTTTTTCTCCTACAGCCGAGTTTTCGTTTGATCCCTGAGCAACCGAAAATTCGGTTGCACCAACAGAATTGTTTTTTCCGTACACAGACGTAGCTACAATTTCCATGAGACAGAAATAATAATCGATTTGTTGCACGTGGACTCGCCGAGTGAAAACCGCGACACTTCACTGGACTTGAATGCCACCGTTATTCAACTAAAGTACAGAAAAATTCCGACGTCTCGGGTGCACATGTTCAAAGTGGCGTATACATTTTAGCGAAATAGCTCTCGCTATAAAGTCATAACGTTTTAAGTTGTACGCCGAGCACGTGAGGGAACTCATTAATGGGAAATGCCGCCGAGTATCTACGTAAGCGAGCGTGTTGCATATACTTGAACGCGATATCAGGTTAGGTATAAGTATTGCGCGCGTTTTTAATACATAAATATGCGCGTATATTTTAAACGTATATTCTGCAAGAATGATTCGAAACATTGCAGGAAAATCGAGTGATAATTAATTAGGGATTGGATCATAATCAATTGGCAATACGAGAAATTATTATTAATGGCGAATATTGTACGTGGATTGAATTCCGATGTTGAGTATTTTCGTGGGAGGGTAAGTTCGAAGAGGAGAAAAATTGATTTTTTCTTACAATTTGGTTATGCAGATTATAAATAATAACGCAGTTGGGTGTAAGTAGAATTCATCAAAGTAAACACAAAATTTCTTTAAATATTTTTCTTTAAAAGTCTTCTACCATTTTGCAAGTAATCGCGTGAATTTTTAGTTAGTAATTAAAGAAGATTGACGCATTATCGCGGATAATTACGCACTAATCTTGACTTTTGACATAAATGACTTTTTACTTTTTTCCTTCTTTCAAATCAAACTCAATATTTCACAACGGAGCCTAATCCAATTGCCACTAATAATAATTTATCGTGTCACCAATTGATTGTTGTCTGTATCGGGTGGTGGGAGGCTAAAATATTTTCCGTGCAGACACAGTCTTACATTGTTGCGAGTCGTGGGTCAAAAGCGTGTTTCGCGAGTGATCGACGCTTGTATTTCGGCGCGAACACACAAGTGAATGACGATGGCCAAGAGATTGTTACCTATATATACGGCTATTTATGTACACACGCGTGCTCGCGGTGTGAGAAAGCCACGATTGCGCTTAAACAATGAGATCCACCGCTCTGTTTGCCGGCTAAATATTGACGCTTATCGGGCTTCGAACGTACAAGAAGGGAATATGAATCGGCCGTTTTGCCACACACACTCTGCTTCTTTAAAAATAAAGTAACCTAAGAGAAAAAAAATTCTCCAGCTGAGAAAGATACTGGCCTTTAAAATTTATCTAGCCAGAGCTATTCTCCGATCGTAGCAGCTTTAAATTTGTCTTGCTATGCGGAACCAACTGCTTAAAAAGTTCACGCATTAG